AGCCCCTTCAAGGCGGACCGAGACCGAGACCAATATGGTCCGAGACCAAGACCGAGACCGAGACCGCTGATAATAAATAACAATAGTCGAAATAAAAAAAACAAGACACGTTATTATAGTTGAAAAATGTAACCTTTCTATTCACAAAGAATAGACCAATATTTTGACCAGTGGCAATGTTGACAAATTGATACATGACACCTTACTTGAGCAAAAAATTAAAGATCCATATCTGGCACATTCTGGCTACCACCTCGCAACCTGTGGGTCTACATGTACAAGTCCACATTCTATGACAAAAATTTAAAAATTAATTCAACATTTTCTAGCTCCCATTTTTTAAAATCAAGTATACAAGTTTTGTTAGAAGTTAAGTCCTAAATTTATTTTAGGAAAAAAAGGGCAATGTAAACTTAAAATTACATCTTTAAATATCCGTTAGAAGTCATAGCTGAAACCAAGGGGTGACTGTGGAGTTTAGGATCCGAGTTCCTATAACAGATGAAACATCTACCTTTAACTTTTTACTTTTGTCGCGATTGGGTGCAGACAACATGTCAAAGCCCATATTTCTTAAGTGTAACTACTTTTTGCTCAAGTAAGGTGTCATGTATCAATTTGTCAACATTGCCACTGGTCAAAATATTGGTCTATTCTTTGTGAATAGAAAGGTTACATTTTTCAACTATAATAACGTGTCTTGTTTTTTTTATTTCGACTATTGTTATTTATTATCAGCGGTCTCGGTCTCGGTCTCGGTCTCGGACCATATTGGTCTCGGTCTCGGTCCGCCTTGAAGGGGCTGGTCTCGGTCTCGGTCTCGGTCTCGAATCTTCAGGTCTCGGTCTTGGTCTCGGTCTCGGACTATCCGGTCTCGACTACAACACTGCCAAATACATCTTTATGTTTATGATCGGTAGGTGGCAGGTTTGGGGCTAGGCAAGGATTTATCTACTGAGTTTTTATGAGAAAAAACTTGCAAAGGGTTACACATGAATAGCTTTTTTATTTAAACGAAACTACACTGGAACTAGTTTCAATGGAAGCCCGTCCCACTCCTATTAGGTTGGCATGTGTGTGAACCGTGATATTTGTTAACGTTGAGTACAGAATGATAGCAATGTCAATGAAACTTTCCAATGAAAAGAAACACCTTCAGGGGAAAGGTATGAACTTTGCCCCTATTGAAAGATCGAATGAAAAAAATCGTGGCAAGCATAATCAACTTTGCCACCATTGTCATGGCCGAGGTTATTTTTTTCGGGTCAAAGCTTCCATGGCGGAAATATCATAGACATGTCATGATTTTAGATACATTGAGAGAAATATCGATTCTGCACTGCCTGAAAATTTAGAAAATACCTCCTCCTGATATTTTACAGTGTTACTTTGTGCTAGACGTTCGAAGCGCCGCGCTTAGCCGCGCCAAAACTAGAAACGAACAAACCGAAGGAGATATTTTTAGAGCAAGCATAATGTATAGCGCAGCGGTGCAATTTCAACGTCGTAGAACACTGCTGGCTGGAACACATAATTGCCCGGGAGTAGGGGGTGCTGAAGCATATAAATAAACCTTCGGATAAATAAACCTTCAGACTGATGAACCTTCGGATTAATGAACCTTCGGACTATTTCATCAAATGTTCGGATTAACGAACCTTATTTCATGTTCGGACTAACGAACCCTTCTTATGGAAATTTTGTGCATTTGAACTATCGAACCTTCGGACTAAAGAACCTTCGGACTATTGGACCTTCGGACTATCGGGCGGCCCCCGTTTGTAATACATTGTTAAAAGACGTACCATCACCATTTCCGGCCACTCTGTGAATCTATTTCAGGTTACCACGTTCCTTTCTTTCTGGCTCCTAACCCATACCTCATTACCCGTAATATACAACACATATAAGAATGTTACGTCTTCCAGCTAAAGTAAATGGTCAAAACAAATGGATGTGGTAAAGACCAAATTCAAGGAGCCGCACAATTTCACACAATTTATTTTCTGCGTGACAAATACCGTCATTGTTGCACTTTTGTCCATAATCAAAAATGCTGAGATTTTTCAAGAAAATTTGAAAATAGTGACGTCAATGCAACAGCAAATCAGCTTATTGTTACTTAAATGTCATTGATTATATCACTCTTCAATTCCCTGACCCTCAAAATGTCAAATTAATGACTTGGAATCTCATCACAAAGCTTCACGACCTTATTTTCTACAATTAATTACTGTACGAGATCGGTATTATATTGTGGCGTCATTATTACGTCATAAAGTACCCTTCCTGTCATCTGATTTTTTTGCATCTATACCCTATTTTTGATCGTAACACATTGGCAAAGCTTTGGTGAAAAAATGGTGCTTTTAAATACCATGTAACGATCCTTAGCATTGTTGTTACTAATGTAGCTCGCTATAAGATGCCTCACTTTTCCGCTTATCTTTGGAACAAGTTTAAACATATTTATGATACAAATAATCAATTACAAAAACTCTTTTGGCATAGAATTTGAACTTTTCTCTCGAACTTAAAAACAACATCTCACAATACCACATACTGTTTGCATGTTCGTCTTTTTTTCGAAAAGGTAACCATGGAGATGCTTTGGTGAAAACAATTGTGCTTTTGTCCACTGTGTCACGATTTTTTCACTAAGGTACCTCACTATAAAGGCTCGAGCCCCTCCTCCGTCCCCTCCTCTCATTGATTTTACAGAGGCCAAGTGTCCGGGATAAAAAAAAAAACCTGTCTACATTTAAGCATTGATTTACAGATGAAACCTACCCCCTGCAAAAATTCCTGGATCCGCCCCTGCTCACCCTGTCGAATGGAATCACAAGCTGAAGCAAAGTTGATGCTTTACACCAACATGTACTTGCAATGCACTGCAAACCAGCGCCTTTTGAAAACCTTGGAGACTCTTACAAAAAACCAAAATGTTAACAGATATAATAATTACCGGTAATGGGGAGGGAGACTTTCCCATAGACTTGTGCACACAAATTTTCCGACTTAAATTTGCCCTGACCCGATATTCCCTGGTCCTTTTTCCACGAATTTCGGTATATTTACTAATTAGATCACGAGCAACAAATATAACCTAATTGCGACAGCAAAATTTTGCCTCTAAAGGGGGGTGCGCCATTAGGAAGACAGTTGTGTGTCTCCTTAAAAGTCGGTGTCTCCTTATTATTGAAGAAATTACGATAACGTGTCTCCCTAATAGTATATTTAGTAATGTAGGCCTAACTGTGATCGAAACTGCTATAATCTATATCATTCTGTGGTTATACGGATCGGTTCACATAAATGGTATGACCTCGGCCTGTTGCCGTGTTTACTATTTTACTCTTTTCAAATTTGAAAGGAGATTATTTGCCATTTTGCTGATCAGGCTGTGAGAGTCAGTATTCAGAGGGTGTGCGATGACGGATATAGGCCCTGGGTTACTGCTTCAATCTTTTATCAATTTCACAATGTTTCAATTTGAACGGTTTTATTTTAGTATTTTATCAGATGAGGTGCAATCTGGTGTGCGTTGAGTACAACTGTAAAGGATTTGGGTGGGTTAATACGTTCCTTTTGGAGGCTGCCTCCTTTTTTTATTTCGTTTGTTTTTAAATCGCACCAGCGACCGCAGTTATCAGGAAAAGCATGAAACAAGTGCAAATTGATGTCTCATGGCTTTTATACATTTCAGCTGAGGAGTAGAAATTTTCTGCAAATATGCTGCAATGTAAAATTCATGTCATTGACCCTTTTTGATTGCGTTGGGCAAGGCAACTTACAGCCCAATATCGAATTTCCTTAACGCAAAATTCCACCCGATATGATATAAGCCTAATTGCTTTTTTATTGCGTGCACATTTTAAGCTATTTTAATTTCAATTAATTTTCTCATAACTGATTACTTCGTGTGTATAATAGGTGTTTTTCAAAATCTCTCATGTGAATGATGTATAGGGACCTATCCGTCTTATTGTTGATATTATGAAATTAGTTGAAAGCCCGACCTCCAAGGTAAATATAACTGCGCAGATGCGAGGTGCGCGTCCTTGCTTGTTAACCTTCTCAAGGGCATGTAGTAACAATGCTTGCACTAGTCATCAGTGCATATATTTTCGTGTAACATAAACAGTGTGGCACAAGCAACCTATTATTTTAACCCAAAACTAACCAACTATCAATCTTAACTGACATCAGTGCTGTTTTGAATGACAATATATGTCAAGATGACTTTTTTTGCTGAGGGCTACCATTTTAAGTCTGTGTCCGTACTAGTGTTTTACGCATGGTGCGGGGAAATAATAAAAAGATTAAGAAAAAAGCGATTGAAAAAAAACAAAGAGGTCAACTGGACAAGTAAAAATTGGGCAAGATTTCTGCTCCTGCAGCAATAAAAGTCCCCCGTTGTTAACATAAATGCAACCACGAAATTATCAACAACAAAAACTAAAAAGGACTTTAAAAAAGAACAAGTTTTAAACCCAATTATGCAGACTTCTAGCCTCGCGCCAAACCGAATGATTCCTACGATGGGCCACATAATAGGGGAGATATTTAGGGGAATTGTGCCTTTGGTGATACAAGCATGGCATTTGGAACACATTAAGAGTATGTTTGACTTAAGAAAGATATAGCTATAGGGCCATCGCAGATTTGTCCTTTGAAAAAAATATAGGTAGAATTAAATGTCATTTTCAAATATTCCAAAATGGCTGCCATTGCTTGTTATTCTATACCCTATATGTTTCCAAAGGACAAGTCTGCGATGGCCTTACAGCCAAATATATTTCTCATGGCTATACTCTGACTTGTGTGCCAAATGCCATGCCTGTATCCTCAAAGGCACAATCCCATTTGAATTAAGTTCGACGTTTAAAAAGTGACCACAAACGGGTACGCACAAATCTCGAATAGATCACAAATGTTATTTGTATACTTTCAGATCGACGCGACTCAAGGACGCCAGGCTGTAAACGGGTGTAACTTACCAACAGTGTAGACCGTAGAACGCTCCGGGTCGTACGCACTCTGCTCAGACGCACCGGTATCAAGGTCGAACAGCCCCGCACCGTCCGACGCATAATCGTACGGCAGGTAGACCGAGGAGAGCTCGCGCAGGGATATGACGGCCTCGCTGCCGCGTACCAGCACACAGAGCCCCAGGAGCGCCCGTAAAACCGTGAATGCAAACCGCTGCATGTTGACGCCTCGGCAGACCTCTCTGAAATGCCTCTCAACTTGAGTGCGGTGGAGATTTATGATAACTCCCTACGCTGCTTTTAAATCCAGGTGATGACATTGACAGGCCTATACCCGATAGCATGGATTTAAAGCAGACGTGCACGCATGCTTGTATCAATATACATGTAGCAACATAACGACCGCCATAAAACGTTACATGTATCAGTCAGCGGATACTGGAGGCGCGATGTTAGCCTTGCATGACGGAATAGTTCCGTTAAAGTTGTGCGGTATCGACACCAAATATTGATTTGACCACCTATTATCGAAATATTCTATTTTCATTAATTTGATGCATAGAAATTCTTCGCAACAAGTGAATTTAAAGACTAATTCAATGAGCATGTTGACGGTATTTTTAACGGTAAATTCCTGCGCTTATCGTGCAGATTTGATATTATCTACAAACTTTTTTTAATCACTGATGAAGAATAATTTTTCCAACAGTTTTTTTTTCAGGTATTTATTTTATAATTTTCTTTATAGTGACAATTTTTTTTTTTCAAATAATTGATGTTTAGATGTTTAGAAAATCGTTGCTAAAGAATAAAAATGACTGTTTCTATTTTAAATTTTTACTAAAAAACAGAAAATTTATCTGATTTTTCTCATTGTAGGGCCACATATGAACTTGTTTTCTATCATTTTGTCCTTTTTCAGGGCGTGGCTTGTTTCTAGCCTTAACCAAAAGGCCTATTCGAATCATCGGCCATTTTAAAAGTCTTCCAGTTGATTATTATTGACACTAAGATTCGACGAATTTCTACTCCGGATAACAAATAAACCAATTTGTGTATCAAAAAACTTTGAAAGCAATAGTAACTGGTGTGCGAAGTCAATTTCCTCAGTGGGAATACTATGTTCGCACGTAAACTGGAGCGTGAAATTGCAGTCTTACTGTAGAGAAAAAAATCCTGTAAAATGCTATACAATACTGGCACCACGGGAGCCATTGATGCACTGTAAAAAGAAAATACAGTTGCTACTGTATTTTCAACGGTGGCATTACCGGCGCCCGTGCTGTCAGTAATATGCTGTTAAAAAGACAGAATAGCAAATTATACACTAGCATTCTAAAATACTGTTAGCAGAAAGCGGTTAACTACTGGCGCCCGTTGCTGCTGTTTGACAGTAATTGTACGTAAAAAGCTACAGTGAATACGATGTTGTTGTTTTTTTCAAGCTATCGTCAACGGAGCACGTGAAAAATAGTGACACAGTGCCTAGATTTTGTCAAAAGGTAGGAAACGATGGGCCGGACGGGGTAACCTTTGTTCCTCCTTTCCTTCCACCCCCCCCAAAAAAAAAATCTAACCGGAACTCCTACCAATAAACACTAAAAAAAAGATCAACGCAGCAACACCTCTGAGATATTTGAGTCGGAAGTTAAAGGGACATTTCGGCCTGAACTCCCCGAAAATTGTGTGTTTTAGATTGTTTACTTTCCTATTTCAAAGGTCTGGTTGAAAGGAAACTAAACTGTCTTACCGTTCCCGATTAAAGACGAAACAAAAGCCGGTTGAGCGTGTTACCAGCCGTATCCATTCAATGTACGGTACCGTTTGTGTGTATCACGTGATAAACACAGCATCAATACACAAATGTTGTTCCTCGCACTGGTTGAAGGTGTGCGGCAGGATTCACGACTAGCACCCAACAGCTCCATTTTTGAGACTTAAAATTGACCCCCGAAATTTGTTCTCGCGAGAATAACACAAAAACGCCCAGTTTGTAAAGAATGGTTGTGTGGACACTTACATTCTACTTTTAAATGCTCTTTCCAATTAATATCATTGTTTAAAACGCGTTTTGCAGCCAAATTTGAGCGCAATCCAGGACGTAAAATCCCTTTAACTACGATGTGTATTGCGCGTCGCCGGATTGCCATTTTCAGCAAGTAGAGCCGATTCGTAGATAAAGGACAAATCTAGAAATCCCGACACTTTCCACTTTAATTGCGATTGCAGTGCAGTTTTATTGAAATAGTGAGCTTAAAATATTCCCACAAGAAAGGTCATTAATAAGTAAAGGCCTGCAACGGTTATAATTACCGCTTTATATACTGTTTTCAAGGTAGCACTGTAATAAATACTCTGCAAAAAACTGCAGTGTTAAATTTACACCATTGGTATCTATAAAGGATGTTAAATAATGGTGTTAAATTTTACTGGTGTTGCCCTATATAGATACCGAGTGGTGTTAAATTAACACTACAGTTTTTGCAGTGTACGTTACCTTGACTATACATCTTTTACATTGTATACCGCGACTTTGTGATCTGTTGATTTACAGGGTCTAAAAGGGCAAAATAGTCCTTTATCATGCTGCCACCATTTCAGTCATGTTCCCTGTATCCAATAACAGTACTGAATGATGTTATTTTTTTTGCAAAAAGGAACCAGACTACTTTTCCTTCCAGGCTCGCTTTGGTTACGTTGATTTGAATGGGAGAAAATCACCATGGCCGCAACATGATAATGGTCTATACTGTTGATGACAGTAAATACTATCACTTTAAATTACTGTATTGTATCCGTTATTAACAGAGAATTACTGCGCCAAAAATACAATACAATACTGCACATTTAACAGTAACGTTTTAAAGTGATAAACTATTCTGAATTTTATAACCACTCAGTAGGAAACGAAATTCTGGTTTCATTTCTTTAGTATCCTGAAAGATTTTTCACGCATCAAAGTTTGACATGCGAGAACGCAGTTTAAAGTGTCATGAAGTGACTTTTTTTATGAGGAACACATTTTGTGCAACTTTCCACTCGTCTGAAATGTATGAAAAATATTTCACATCCTTTTTTGGTTAATTTTATTGGAAAGTGCACCTTTTTTCAACAAAATTTCATGATTTCCGAACAACTGAGGGCGCTCTTGCTGTGATGGCATTTCAGGGAGACACTTTTTAGTGTAGGGGTTTTCGGGTCAAACTGTGAACCCAAAAATGAGCTTATTGAAAATGTTTGTGAGACAAATTTGCTCATTGGCTTACTGCCATGTACCGACACAACAACGAATCACCAAAGAAAAGACTATTTACGACAGCGAAATATCCAAAACTCTGGCTAGTTGGTGCTGATAATAGCTGTAGCATTGAGTTTTCTGCCTGAAATGACATCACACTTCTACTTATGAATATGGAAATTCGCATTAGCTTAAACACCAAAAAGGCACCAAAATACCCTGAAAATGGTAAGACAAAAATTGAAAATAGGGTTCAATGGGACACAAAGGTGCATTGCCAAGTATTGCATTGAGAAAAACAAATTACATTTCATGGGCCCTTTAAATGCTGAACTGTGTTTGAAATTTCAGAATAGACATAATTGTGCGGTTTTGTGAAGTTTTCACTCTGAACTTTGTTGACCAAAAATCGAATTGTATATTTTAAATACTTGGATTTGTGGCCAAACACATTACGTTCATATTTAATATAATCAACTATAACAAAGACTGTTTTCATTGAAGATAATACTTTTTTAGTGTTGGTGTTAACATCGAACCAGCGTTTACTTTAAAATTACATATTTACGGGACAGTGATTTCAGGGATTACTAATTTAAAAGCGACTGCTATATATTTTTTCTTATCGAAAATTACAAACCACGAAGTGCAAAACATCTATCTACCAAATTGCAACTGCGATACTGCTCAAAAGTTCTGCATGTAAATTTGTCAATTGACTTTCTATTTTTTTTAGAGATAAAAACAATCATTGAAATGACTTTACTAATTTGTTTATCTATTGACTTCTACTGACTTCTCACTTATTATGTTAAACAGCACGAGTGATAATTGGCACACATTGTAGTATTGAGTGTTCTGCCTGAAATGACATCACACTTCTGCTAATGAATATGGAAATTCGCATTAGCATAAAACCAAAAAGTGAACTTTTCGGGTTGAACTTTGTTGACCAAATATCGAATTATACATTTCAAATACTTGAATTTGTGGCCAAAAAAAATACGGTGATATTTAATATAATAAACTAACAAAGATAATCTGTAAGCTAATCTAAAAGAATAGATCACTGTTTTCATAAAAGATAATACTTTTTTAGTGTTGGTGTTCACATCGAACCAGCGTTTACTTTAAAATTACGTATTTACGGAAAACGATTTCAGGGATTACTAAAGCGATTGTTACAGACTTTTTCTTATCGAAAATTACAAACCACGAAGTGCAAAACATCTATCTACCAAATTGCAACTGCGATACAGCTCAAAAGTTCTGCATGTAAATTTGTCAATTGACTTTCTATTTTTTTTTAGATAAAAACAATAATTGAAATGACTTTACTAATTTGTTTATCTATTGACTTCTACTGACTTCTCACTTATTATGTTAAGCAGCACGAGTGATAATTGGCACACATTGTAGTATTGAGTTTTCTGCCTGAAATGACATCACACTTCTGCTAATGAATATGGAAATTCGCATTAGCATAAAACCAAAAAGTGAACTTTTCACGTTGAACTTTGTTGACCAAAAATCAAATTATATATTTCAAATACTTGAAATTGTGGCCCAAAAAAATACGTTGATATTTAATATAATAAACTAACAAAGATAATCTGTAAGCTAATCTAAAAGAATAGATCACTGTTTTCATAAAAGATAATACTTTTTTAGTGTTGGTGTTAACATCGAACCAGCGTTTACTTTAAAATTACGTATTTACGGAAAACGATTTCAGGGATTACTAAAGCGATTGTTACAGACTTTTTCTTATCGAAAATTACAAACCACGAAGTGCAAAACATCTATCTACCAAATTGCAACTGCGATACAGCTCAAAAGTTCTGCATGTAAATTTGTCAATTGACTTTCTATTTTTTTTTTAGATAAAAACAATCATTGAAATGACTTTACTAATTTGTTTATCTATTGACTTCTACTGACTTCTCACTTATTATGTTAAGCAGCACGAGTGATAATTGGCACACATTGTAGTATTGAGTTTTCTGCCTGAAATGACATCACACTTCTGCTAATGAATATGGAAATTCGCATTAGCATAAAACCAAAAAGTGAACTTTTCACGTTGAACTTTGTTGACCAAAAATCAAATTATATATTTCAAATACTTGAAATTGTGGCCCAAAAAAATACGTTGATATTTAATATAATAAACTAACAAAGATAATCTGTAAGCTAATCTAAAAGAATAGATCACTGTTTTCATAAAAGATAATACTTTTTTAGTGTTGGTGTTAACATCGAACCAGCGTTTACTTTAAAATTACATATGTACGGAAAATGATTTCAGGGATTACTAAAGCGATTGTTACAGACTTTTTCTTATCGAAAATTACAAACCACGAAGTGCAAAACATCTATCTACCAAATTGCAACTGCGATACTGCTCAAAAGTTCTGCATGTAAATTTGTCAAGTGACTTTCTATTTTTTTAGAGAGATAAAAACAATAATTGAAATGACTTTACTAATTTGTTTATCTATTGACTTCCACTGACTTCCCACTTATTATGTTAACCAGCACGAGTGATAATTTGCACACATTGTAGTATTGAGTTTTCTGCCTGAAATGACATCACACTTCTGCTAATGAATATGGAAATTCGCATTATAATAAAACCAAAAAGTGAACTTTTCACGTTGAACTTTGTTGACCAAAAATCGAATTATATATTTCAAATACTTGAATTTGTGGCCAAAAAAGATTACGTTTATATTTAATATAATCAACTAACAAAGATAATCTGTAAGCTAATTCGGAAGCATAGATCACTGTTTTCATTAAAGATGATACTTTTTTTAGTGTTGGTGTTAACATCGAACCAGCGTTTACTTTAAAATTACATATGTACGGAAAATGATTTCAGGGATTACTAAAGCGATTGTTACAGGCTTTTTCTTATCAAAAATTACAAACCACGAGGTGCAAAACATCCATCTACCAACTTGCAACTGCGATACTGCTCAAAAGTTCTGCATGTAAATTTGTCAAGTGACTTTCTATTTTTTTAGAGAGATAAAAACAATCATTGAAATGACTTTACTAATTTGTTTATCTATTGACTTCTACTGACTTCTCACTTATTATGTTAACCCGCACGAGTGATAATTGGCACACATTGTAGTATTGAGTTTTCTGCCTGAAATGACATCACACTTCTGCTAATGAATATGGAAATTAGCATTAGCATAAAACCAAAAAGTGAACTTTGTTGACCAAAAATCAAATTATATATTTCAAATACTTGAATTTGTGGCCAAAAAAAATACGTTTATATTTTATATAATAAACTAACAAAGATAATCTGTAAGCTAATCTAAAAGAATAGATCACTGTTTTCATAAAAGATAATAATTTTTTAGTGTTGGTGTTAACATCGAACCAGCGTTTACTTTAAAATTACATATTTACGGAAAATGATTTCAGGGATAACTAAAGCGATTTCTACAGACTTTTTCTTATCGAAAATTACAAACCACGAGGTGCAAAACATCCATCTACCAAATTGCAACTGCGATACTGCTCAAAAGTTCTGCATGTCAATTTGTCAATTGACTTTCTATTTTTTTTTTAGAGATAAAAACAATCATTGAAATGACTTTAATAATTTGTTTATCTATTGACTTCTACTGACTTCTCACTTATTATGTTTACCAGCACGAGTGATGATTGGTCAGGCCCTAAATTTGGAGTCAATTTTTTTTCGTGCCCCTGTTACATCCGATAAGATTTTGCAAATTCAAGAAACATTCGTAAAGGTAGGCCTACCTGCCAAACAAATAATTTTTTTTAAAGCAGTTTAAGGTCAATTGTAATGATACCTATATGGCAAAATTCCACAGATTAGGGGTATCAGGGGCACACACAAAAAATTACACTTTTTAACCTTGCGCAGCGTTTACAAAAAAAACTTTACAACAACTCGTCAACTGCTGCCCTCTGGGCAGCAGGTACTTTCCCGCATTATGCAAGACCCTATTCATAGCACTACAACAAAAAGCCATGTGCCAGACAGTGTCCAGACAAGTGTCAGACAGTGCGCTGCAAAGATAATTGACTGGCGGCTGTGGTATGCAGTTGTATGCAGTTATGAAGGAAGATGGCTGTGTCAAGTTACAGGTCTTTGTTAATGTTTCAATGAGACTTGGCAGGAGGCCTGGTCGAAAGTTTGTTGACACAGCCTGGGTGAAGCCCTGGCTGCAAAGTTCATTGAACCAGCTTATTTGGCAAGGGTCGAATGAGGATTAGATGGAAGGTGACCGTCATTGGCCCTCAATTTTTTTTTCTTCAAAAAATTCGGTTACCTGGGGCCAAAAGGGCAACAAGTCACTCTGCGCAGGGTTCCCACACCACCCATTTATGGACTGAATCTGATCCTAAAGTTGAATCTTACCTTCTTGATAGTGCTCGCAATACAATAGAAATGCCAAATTGAAATCTCAAGTTTCCAATAACGATCAATAACCTCCATAACTGTTGGTTTGTTAGTGTCTTCGTCCACTTAAGGTGCAGTGAATGTTTTGTTCAATCTCAGTCGTACAGTGACAATTTACACTGATTGATCCGTTGATAATTTTCATCGATTGATTCGTTGAAACCAGTCGGGCGATGTTGTGTTTTTCCCCACCATATTGCGAATATCGCAAGCTGTCTCAGTTTTTGTCATTTTGAAGATTTGCATTCTGTCGAGGACAACAGGGGTACACAGTTCGAAATGTTCGAGAACTATTCTCAACTTCTGTTCTTTTCACAGAAGAGGTTACGTGCAATTCCGTGGTGTTAATATACCTTTATCGCGCTGCCACCATTTCAGTCATGTTCCCTGCATCCAATAACAGTACTGAATGATTTTTTTGTGCAAAAAGGAACCAGACCAATTGTCCTTCCAGCCTCGCTTTGGTTACATTGATTTGAGTGGGAAAACGTTAAATGGCTGCAACATGATAATGATCTAGACCCATGCACAAACCTATACCACTTCTTGTACAAGTTGTCGATTTGATGTTCGACACCTTCAACTCTATAGCTTGGCCCGAAGACTGGATTTAGATCTGTTCCTTTCATGCAGCCGGGCTCGATCCTTTACTTGGCATACCGTGAATACTTGAAGTTCTTCTCGGGTGCAAGCGCCAAAGTTCCAAGACGCCGGACCGGGGGCACAAGGGGAACAACATCCAAAAACAGTCCTTGACCTAAGACTACTCTGGTCTGGCGCTACATCTCGAAAAAGTAACAGTTCTGTAGTTTCGGAATCGAATCTTCTCCTTCCACTTGGCGACGAGCTACGTTGTTCAGTTGGCACAGCATCGTTTCCGGACCTTCCTCGAGGAGATTGAAGGAGCGGCATCGCGGCTCCGATCGGCAGGCCTTACCGCACTCCACCACGCCCCTCACCGGTAGCTCCTTCACGACGTGATCGACGAGGCACGATGGAGAGGCCAGGCGGCCCTCGGTGCCGACCTGAAGGCAGAACGAGAGCGCGGTATCCGTGTCGGCAGGCAACTGACAAGCTGAGAAGTGTCTCTCTGTACAGCCCCGGTCTCCCCACCGACCGCCGGCACCGTTTATCATCGCTGCGCAGTCAGCGTTGCCGTTAAGATCGTTGTCCGGCTGATCGTCCTTCCAGTTCTGGTAGGCGTCAGAGGAGCTGCTCCTTAGCGGACAGGGATGCCATTTTCCCTCTTCCTCAATGTCGCTACAACCGATCCAGATGTGTTTGCTGGGGTTTCCGTGATAGATTTGTAGGAACATTTCCCAGATCGCATCTTGTTCCGTTTGACACTGAGGGAGGACCAGCTCGGCTTTCTTGGTGTGACACTCGCGACTAGCATCCCCCCACGTCAGTGGAGTTGTTACCACCAAGTAGCAGGTCTCACCAAATCGCAGCCAGCCCGTGGGGCATATTGCTGCCTGGCTGGTAGGCCAGCCCATTGCGACGAAAAAGACGATGATTTCAGGACTCATTTCTGCCTTTCTGTAGCCACTGTGCTCTTGAGAGAAGGCTCCGTGCGTGTGCCTTGATTGTCTCGGTTTCGTATTTATATCTCTGCTGTAGATTGTGACCTTCAAACGTCGCTCACTCAGTTATGGCTTTCTGCGGCTGCGTGGTCTACTCTAAAGACTTACCACCTGCTACAATAAAAAGATAAACTCTATTGTATGATGCAAGGGTGATTGAAGCGTTTATAACCTTAAACCAATACCAATAAATAAATTAGGGTTTGGAATTTCCTTGGTAACGCTGACGCCGGATATTATATAAACAACAATAATTACAGAAGTAATGCGACGTTTGTGTCGCCTTCGGTTGCATGCATGCTTGTTCTGCTGCCACAAATTGCAAGGTGAACCGTATTAATAGATCCTTTCATGCTCCTTCGCTTCGCTCATACGCATGAAAAACACTTTCACTCTAACGAAGACTTCAATAAATTACACTGAAACAGCATATCAATTCAGATATTTTATTGTAAAGCATGGGGCGTGCCTAGTGTCAGTTGCTGAATACGTACAGGGAAAAATGTTGAGGGAAAAAACATGTATATCAGGTGTTTTGCATGTGGTAATTATTCTTTACACGTCACAAAATATACAAATCGTTACATAAAATAGCATCATCATTTAATTTTCGTCTTCACAATACGATGTAATTTACGCATCATAAACAATCTCGGCTCCGCTTTGGAGCCCTTTTGGCTCTCCGGATTATCTGTCCGGATTTTTTTTTTTTTTTTTATAACCAAAAACAAAACAATTTCTTAAATATATTACATCGTCAATTTAGAATGAAATTTATATAATACATCAATTAATCCCAGCTCCACCTTGGAGCCTCAGCCCTTTTGGCCTTTCGGATTATCTTTACAGTTGCGTGAAATTTTGTATATAACACATCAATAATCTCAGCTCCTCGGATTATTTGTCCGGTATCTGAAGATACATATATAATTATACTACATGAAAACTCGCATTAGATGAAGTTTATGTTTTTACAAAATTAAGGAGAAGACCCTAGAAAATTGGTTATCCAATTGTAATTACTGTTTACTTAACGTAACTGTAAGACTGAGACGACGATCTATGTCTCGTTTAATGTATCTGTTTTTGGCTTGAGGCGTTTTCCATCGCCCATGCTCCATGATAAGCTCTTCAGATATATCCTTATTTGCCAAATGAGAGGCCCCTCCTGAACGCATGCTATGCAGGCCGTATTTTTTAGGGTTTTCTACGCCAACTTGCTTTAGTGCTTCTAAAAAGAGCTCTCGGCACCTAGAATAACTCAGGAGTTTGTTCTGTAATGGTCTATACGAATTCGAACTGGATAGAAAAGACAAGGCTGTGAATATAATAAACATCATCTCCTATCTGAATGTTACATTGTGTCAAATATCGTCCGAGTATCTTTGCTGGGCAATACTGACTATCAATTTGAGATAAGAAGGTGAAAGTACCTTCACGATAAACGTCTGTTTTTGATCTGGGAATGTGAATACGCAATCCAACTTGACCAGGCAGCTCAGTAATGTGGCTTGCCTTTAACTGTACCATCTCGTCGTGCCTGAAGACAAGCGAAAACTTTAATGATACATAACAAGCGGTTCGCAACTGCAGCAAACTACAATTCTGATTGCCAAAATGATCAATAATATCATGTACTTACGAAAGCCCTGTAGTGCCATCAAGTATATATTTCGCCAAGTTCGTTTTATGAGTTATATATTTCGCCAAGTTCGTTTTTATGAGTTATATATTTCGCCAAGTTCGTTTTTATGAGTTATATATTTCGCAAGGTTCGTTTTTATGAGTTATATATTTCGCCAAGTTCGTTTTTATGAGTTATATATTTGGCCAGGTTCGTTTTTATGAGTTATATATTTGGCAAGGTTCGTTTTTATGAGTTATATATTTGGCAAGGTTCGTTTTTATGAGTTATATATTTGGCAAGGTTCGTTTTTATGAGTTATATATTTGGCAAGGTTCGTTTTTATGAGTTATATATTTCGCCAAGGTTCGTTTTTATGAGTTATATATTTCGCCAAGTTCGTTTTTATGAGTTATATATTTCGCCAAGTTCGTTTTTATGAGTTATATATTTCACCAGGATCGTTTTTATGAGTTATATATTTGGCCAGGTTCGTTTTTATGAGTTATATATTTGGCAAGGTTCGTTTTTATGAGTTATATATTTGGCAAGGTTCGTTTTTATGAGTTATATATTTCGCCAAGTTCGTTTTTATGAGTTATATATTTGGCAAGGTTCGTTTTTATGAGTTATATATTTGGCAAGGTTCGTTTTTATGAGTTATATATTTCGCCAAGGTTCGTTTTTATGAGTTATATATTTCGCCAAGTTCGTTTTTATGAGTTATATATTTCGCCAAGTTCGTTTTTATGAGTTATATATTTCACCAGGATCGTTTTTATGAGTTATATATTTGGCCAGGTTCGTTTTTATGAGTTATATATTTGGCAAGGTTCGTTTTTATGAGTTATATATTTGGCAAGGTTCGTTTTTATGAGTTATATATTTCGCCAAGTTCGTTTTTATGAGTTATATATTTCGCCAAGTTCGTTTTTATGAGTTATATATTTCGCCAAGTTCGTTTTTATGAGTTATATATTTCGCCAAGTTCGTTTTTATGAGTTATATATTTCGCAAGGTTCGTTTTTATGAGTTATATATTTCGCAAGGTTCGTTTTTATGAGTTATATATTTGGCCAGGTTCGTTTTTATGAGTTATATATTTGGCAAGGTTCGTTTTTATGAGTTATATATTTGGCAAGGTTCGTTTTTATGAGTTATATATTTCGCCAAGTTCGTTTTTATGAGTTATATATTTCGCAAGGTTCGTTTTTATGAGTTAGATATTTCGCCAAGTTCGTTTTTATGAGATATATTTTACGGAATTACGGAGTTTTATGAAGTTACGGAGCCCCTAAAGGGACATCCAAAATTATTTTTTTATCTCGTGCGCACGACATAATATCTCGTGCGCACGAGATAATTATCACTGGCGCACGACATATATCACGTGCGCACGACATAATATCTCGTGTGCACGAGATAATTATCACGTGCGCACGAGATATTATGTCGTGCGCACGAGATATTATGTCGTGCGCACGTCATATATGTCGTGCGCCTGTGATAATTATCTCGTGCGCACGAGAAATTATGTCATGCGCACGAGATAAGAAAATAATTTTGGATGTCCCTTTAGGGGCTCCGTAACTTCATAAAACTCCGTAACTCCGTAAAATATATCTCATAAAAACGAACTTCGACAAAATGTATCTCATAAAAACGAACTTCGAGAAAATGTAACTCATAAAAACGAACTTCGAGAAAATGTAACTCATAAAAACGAACTTCGAGAAAATGTATCTCATAAAAACGAACTTCGACAAAATGTATCTCATAAAAACGAACTTGGCGAAATATATAACTCATAAAAACGAACTTGGCGAAATATATAACTCATAAAAACGAACTTGGTGAAATATATAACTCATAAAAACGAACTTGGCGAAATATATACTTGATGGCACTACAGGGCTTTCGTATGTACTTGCTGAATTGACAATGGTTCTTTCTGTTGTGGAGGATGATGCAAGGTTCTCCGTAAACTAGTAAATACCTGTTGCACTACTGGCGAATCAACGGGATTCGGACGAATATTGAGTAAGGAATTCAGCCATTTGATGGCAGATGCTAGTGTTATTATGGAGCTATCTGAATTGACGAATTGACCTCTATCAGACAAAAAGAATGCAATAATTGTATCGGTAACTGGAAATTGGAGTGGAATGTTATGCTTTCTCAGCCAGGCGAAAAACCCTCTGCACTTATACAGGTAAGATTGCGTGGTACCTTCTGCTTTGGCCTTTAAAACATCATGAAATATGCGATCTCGATATGCTTGAAGACTGGCGGGAAATTCTGACCAGAATTGCTGGCCAGAAATAACCTAGTAAGTGGAGAAATGAGAACATTTAAATATTTTCAGACAAAGTAGTACAATCCATAAATATGGCACACATGGGGGTAATGATGGAGTCCGATCCTAATACAGAGTTCTTATTTCTTCCTAACTTTATATTGCCGGGGCCATCTACAGTGCTAGCATCTACGATCCATTCACTATAACAGGACCACAGTAAAGGCCAGAAGGGGGAAGATGGCCACCAAGGAAATACTAACACACCGTTGGCTTTACACTTGTACAAATGACTTAATACACTTGGTATCAATACAACAGGTGGAACAAGTAAGCAATTCTCATTCGACCAGTCTTGGGCAAAAGCGTCGATTCCAGACGTTCCTGGATTCCAATAACGAGAATAGAAACGGGGTAATTTGTTATTGTAAAAGTTCGCAAAACAGTCAACAGAAAGGGGGCCCCAACGATCGTTAATTGCGCTTAAGAATTTTGGGGACAGTATCCAATCATCGAGATCTACCAGCCGACTTACATAATCTGCTTGATCGTTCAGACTTCGAGGCAACCATTCTACCTCTAGATGAATGTGATGTTGAAGGCATAAATTGAAAATGGCCATGGCAATATTTTGCAATTCAAGTTTCATGCTTCCTACTTCAACTATTCGCGCTGCAGCCTGATTGTCTGTTAGAACCTTTACACTTGAATGAGAAATAATCGGTAAAAAGGAAGATAACGCAAACATAATCGTGTTTAGTTCGCGCCAAGTAGAACTGGCCTGCGATTCTTCTGGTGTCCAATTCTTATGAGCTGTATGAACTTCATTGCAGACTATCGCACCGGAACCTACTGCACTAGCATCACAACATATAATTCTATTGACTTTGTTGGACTTGAAAAGAAATCGGATATTACTATGAGAAATGTTATCCTTCCAAAAGAAATTTCCGATAAGCAAGGTTCATCTAAAATAACTAGATTGTGAAAGAGTCACACCGGAGAAAAGCACTGTGGTCACTCGGCAAGCATTTATTCGCTTGATACCGTCCAACAAGCATGGTTTAACAATCACATGTACAATTTACATATAAGTTATGATCCTTACCAGGTCCAGGTATACATACCAGC